AAAAAAAAAGAAAAAGAAAAAAAAAATTGACCGGTTGTTGAGTTGGATATGTTAGTCGGTTGCCATGTATACGAAAAAAATAAAAAATAATATCCACGTCAGCAATCGGTCAACCAGGACCGGCTTTTTGTAGGTGGAAGGACCAAATGCCAAGTTTTTTGCAGTTATTTTGTACAGTCAACGCAGAAGGACCAAAAGTCAAGTTTTTTTTTGCAGTTATAGAATGTTTTATAAAGTCAAACGCGATCACCAAACTATTTCTCCATGAGTTAGAGATTAAATCTCCAATTTTTTCCGCTAACAATCGATCACTTTCTTCATTTGGCAGAGTTATCGAGGATTCGCATGCTTCGTACGTGGAGTCAGTGCCATTTAAGTACATCTTCTTGTTTACGATGTTCCAGCTCGGTTATTTCGTGATGTGCTTTTTGATAACGTGGATACCTATTGCCGGCATATTATTCCCGATGCCTTTTTTCCTCTTAATAAGCATACGCAAAAACTTCTTGCCCAAGTTTTTTCCACCTCAATACCTTCAAGAGCTTGATGCCGCCGAGTATGAAGAGATTGTCGGGCACCCGATGAAGGCTCGAAGCCTCACTCGCGGGGTAACTACATTTTTCTACTTTATTTTTCTTGCATGAAAAACTACATTTCATCAGGCAAAACTGCATTTTTAGTTCTGGTGGTTTAACGTCGTAGCAATTTTAGTCCCAACTTTTTGCCTTTTTGTCCTATAGTTTAATATTTTTCTGCTCCTCAAGGACTTAACTTGCTAATAGAAAATCTATAAAATTGGAAATTTGTTGCAATTTCAGTCCTTAAATGACTGAAAATTGCAGCAAAATATTAAATTACATGATTAAAAGGTGAAATGTTAGAATCTTGGGAGTAAAAATGTTTAAAACAACAGGACTTGAACTGCAATTTCGCCTCATTCACAGACAGCGATTTTGATTGCTGAGCATGATAAAAACTCTGTTTCGTTAAAAAAGTTAATAAAAAATAATTTCAGGATGGCGGTGATGATGATAGCGCGGAAGATTCTCCCGACTTATCGTCTGCTGAGATTTTAGACGAGATGACGACGCACAGAGGCGAAGTCAAGCGCAGGTCCATGAGCTTCAACGACAAGCAATTTCAGGTTCGGTTCTTGAGTTTCGTTTCGTTTTCTAGTTTCGAAACATAACAAAGAAGAGTTACATTTTTTGTGATCTGATGAAATTTAGGTGGTGATTTCAAATAATAAAGAGGTGCATTATGTTATTACAGGCTCTTCCTGCAGAATCCAACGGGGTGTAACGAACGTACTTTCGCAGCAAAAAACGAGTCAAGTTCAAATTTTTTGCCCGGAAAATAGCACGTAATCGCTTGTCGTTTGTGACGACTAACTAACGAATGCATTCAGCATATATAGGAAATACAATAAAAAAAAACGTTACGCATGAAATGGAATGGAGATGACAAAAGATTGAACGGAAAAATGGTCGAATCGAACGCGGTTTCTTATTTTTACACGACTCGGGAAGTTCATCATTCGCAAGAAAAAAAAAAAGAAAAGTAATAGTTGGCTACACATACAAAGCTAAGGGAATAGAAAGAGAGATGACATGAATGAAAGACCATATGGTGTCAATATTAGCTGCTAATATTTGGTCTTTATGTACTAAAAATCGTGATCCCGAGTATACCTTTCTTTTTACACATAGGAGAATTTTTGTTTATTAGGAAATTTATTATATTTAATTTTTTCCTGGTTTTTTTTTTCGCATATGTTTATTTTTTTTGGTGAGGTTGGAGATGAGATGAGACTATGGTGTCTTGAGGTATTCATTTGAGATTTTTAAAAGTCTTACAAAGTTTTGAGTTATTTAACTGATTGAGACCATGATTTGTTAAGACTTTCTAAGATTTGTTAGGATTTCTAAGAAAAAAAACTTGATACAAAATTCCACATCAAATCCCGTCTTTGGACTTAGATTTCATAGGATTCCTTCAAAATTTGAAATTCCTAAAAAGTCTCAAAATTGTCACCGGAAATCCCAAATGAATACAAGCATGACAGTGTAAACGAACCGAGCTCGAGGATTATTGAAATGAGCCGACAAACAATGTCGAGCTTGGTTATTTACAAGTCGAGCTTGAGCCTTATCGAGATGAACCGATAAACAAGCATGAGCTTGGTTCCTTTGTGAATATTAACAATCGACTCGAGTTGAATTGAATATTAACAAGCCGAAATATAGAAAAGTACATTAAAATTTTATTTTTAACTTTTAACAAACTGAGTTCACGAGCAGTTTGTTTTTTTTTTTGGGTTAAACAAAGATCATACCATGGTTGCATATTCTCACATTCGACATATCATTTTTCAACTAATAAATCAACACAAACTTGATCGAATAGTGAAAAATCCAAATGAGTGGAAATCTGATACGAATTTATTTGACATATAAAGGAAATCTTATATCAAATAAACTAAACTACTAAATTAAACTTAAAAAAAAAATATTAATTGAGAAATATTGTTTTTTTTTTTCTTAGCTTTTTTTAGTTTTGTCATGAGGATTTATTTGGGCCATGAACGACCAAAGTATGAGCAGATCCAATTAATGTCGGCCCGATAAGTTTGGCCCACTACAGGATTGTTCACAAAACCCGACCCGACTTCTGTGACGCAGAAAGCGGCCATAAACGTCGACAAACGCCGTTCAATATTTTCTCTGTGCACTGAAACTATTCACTTCCGAAGGAGTAATTTACTGAGAGAGATTTGAGCTCCGTACAAATGGCGTCGGCGATTTCCAAATGGATCGTGGACCCGACCCGCAACCCGCTTGCCGCGCTCCACATGAAAACCTTGTCCGGTCGCCTCAGCAAATACGGTAGCATGAATTTGTGTTCCTAATCGAGGATCTTTTTTCTTTATCTTTTTTTTTCTGAAAAAAAATATTTATTTTGTGCGGAATTAGGGCTTCGGTACGACGATCTGTACGACCCGATGTACGACCTTGATGTGAAGGAGGCGCTTAATCGGCTGCCTAAGGAGGTCGTGGATGCCAGGAACCAGCGCCTGAAGCGCGCCATGGACCTCTCCATGAAGCACGATTATCTTCCGGAGGATCTTCAGGTAAGAGAATATGCGCAGATGAAAGTGAGATTTGGTTCATTGTTTGTGTTTGCTGTTTTGGTGTAGGCTGGTTTAGCAGCTTGAGTGATTGAGAAATTAGGTGGTTGAATGTGTGGGCTGTTCTATTTATTTTTTGTTCAATTATTTTGTGTTTCTTGGCGGTTTGCCTTTGTGAATTATGGATTGTTGAAAGATGGCTATGAAATTGATTTCATTGTTTGTGTTTACTGTTTTGGTGTGGGTTGGTCTAGCAGTTTGAGTGCCTGATGAAATGTGGGTTGTTGAATATGTGGGCTGGTTAATTTTTTCACTTATTTTCTGTTTGTCGATGTGGATTGTGGATGAGAGATGGCTATGAGTTCAGATGATGATTTGCTGGAAAATGTGATTTGATATGCCTACTTATAGTAACAGCACTGATTCATAAGTGTGTGTTGCAATGATTCATATTCATGTCGCTATGTTGATGAAATGAATGCCAGCAATAGCATAGCACACACAACTAGCACCTTTGAATTATTAAATCCCTGCAAATTATAGTGTGAGCTAGATTGCTTTATGGAAGGTTCGATCCTACAGGTATGTGCACTGCACACACTGAGGGTTTATCACCCGTTGGATTACACGCACACACACATTCCCACCTGGGTGTGTGTTGATCAAACGATGAGAAATCCAGTTGGGTGAAATTTACCTTGCATTATGATGAAAATAGAATTTTTCTCCACCTCTGAATTGGTTTACTGACAAAGGTGACTTATGTGAGTCGGTATCTGTTACATGCTTAACTGGCACCCATGTTTACACTATTAGGAGTTTTTTCCCTTCCATCTGCTAACTGCAGACACTATTTTGGGTTGTTTCTTGCTGTGAATGTGCGCTTTTGCTGATATTTTTGTCATCCCTTTTGTGGATTTTGTGAAATTTATTGATGCAGAATAGATATAAGTATTATTATTATTATTATTATTATTATTATTATTATTATTATTATTATTATTATTATTTAATAATTAGTAGTAGCTTAGAGAATAAGCTAGGTTTAGTTTGTGAGGTTTATTTAAAGAATTCTTATGCTGTGTGAGAGAGCAGAATTTGATGAATGAGAATATAAATTGATCGTGTTTCTTTTGGGAGATTATCCCGTTTTCTGGAGAGAGTATCTCCTTTTATCTTCCCGTTCGTTCACGCTTCCCCTACATCATTTATGCTTCCACTACACAGCAGCTTTATACTAGTATTTTACCTTGGTATTGAGTAAGATTTTGACTTGTACATAGCTGTATATGTTATGACATCATCTTTTTTATTTTTTTTCACAGGCTATGCAGACACCATTTAGGAGCTATCTACAGGAGATGTTATCTCTGGTAAGTGTCTCTGTAACACTATGGCTTGATTCTGAATGCGGAACTATCATCTCCATATGTGCGATGGCTCTAAGTTTTACTGTTTCTTACTTACACACCGTTTTACAATATGAACAAGTGCTTATTGTTAGTTCTCTTCCTCCGTTGTTGTAATTACTGTGACGAATTTTCTATTATTATTAACCAACGTGGGCCAATTGTTTGGCATTATGGTTTCAGTTTTTCACAATGGCTGATTGCTGAACACTTTTTATGATGAGACTCTACCACTGGATCTTCAATTACGGTTTCCAAAGTAATTTTGAAACCCGATACAGTCGTGCTATGCAAAAGGCAGGGGCATGCCCATTTGTCAGGGGGAAGCCCTGAGCCACAGCCCCTCCTAACTTTGTTTTTTTTTTTTCAGGAAAAAAAAGTTCTTCCGAAAATAGTTAAAAAAATAATATATTCTTTGTTTCATGCTAGTTACTTTCTTTAACTAGCCATATTTTTTTATCATGCAGCGATCCCGACCTCCTTCTCATGTTTTTCAACTTGATTTTATTATGGTCTAATGTACCTTTACACTATGGTTTTCTGTAGGTTAAGAGAGAAAGTGCCGAGCGTGAAGCACTCGGAGCCTTACCACTTTACCAACGCTCCATTCCTTGAGTCAACTACACATCCTCTTATTGGTTAAGATTAAAGGGCAAGCCATCCCTAACCATTTTGTGACAAATGGTGGGCTACCAAGTTTTCACCTGAAATTTAATTTTCCCCTCAGTAGATTTTACGAGCAATAAATAGTCTCTTCTCTATGGCGCGGTTCTGTGTTCTAGTTTTTGCTTGCTATTGATTTACCTGGAATATTTTTGTCTGATGCTTTATGGAATTCTTAATTTGAATTTTCTTGAATCTGAGAAGCCTTGCTGATAATTTCCTTTCTGTCACCACTCTTTTTGTTTCTGGTGTTTGGGTTATTGATTTTTTTTTTTCCTTTTTTTTTTTTA